CCTATCCTACAGAACTGTAAGATAATAAATGAATATTGTTTTAAGCCACAAAGTTTGTGGTAATTTCTTACAGCAACAGTGGAAAATTACTAGAGATGGGGGCCGGGCATGGTGGCTCACCTCTGTAATCCCAGCACTTTGGAAGGCCAAGGTGGATGGATCACCTCAGGTCAGGAGTTCAAGGCCAGCCCAGCCAACATGGTGAAACCCTGTCTCCACCAAAAATACAAAAATTAGCCAGGCGTGGCGGTGGATGCCTGTAGTCCCAGCTACTCAGGAGGCTGAGGCAGGAAAATCACATGAACCCGGGAGGTGGAGGTTGCAGTGAGCTGAGATTGTGCCGCTATACTCCAGGCTGGGCCACAGTGTGAGACGTCTCAGGAGATAGAGAGAGAGAAAGAGAGAGAGAGAGAGGGAGAAAGAAAATTAGTAGAGACTGGTTTGATCCAGCATCCCAACAAGCAGGCTATGAAAATAGATCAACAAGCACTTTCACAAGAAGCCCTAAATACAGTTGCACAATCAAGAAGCATGACACTGCAGAAAGCAAACACCATAATAGAAAGGAGCCAAACTCAAGATATGAAAGAAGTTATTATCTAACAAAACAGAAATAAAAGAGCAGAATAGGCATTTGTAATAGATATCCTCAGAAAGAGCCAAGATTCTTTTAAAAATAGAGTAAGAATAATGGAAACTAAAGACAATTATTGAAACAGAAAACTCATTGGATGAGTTAAGTTGCAAATAGCACCTCTAATGAGAAAATTAATGATAGAGAAGACCAAGGAGAATTTTCCCAAAACTCAGCACAGGAGGCTAAAGAGATAGAAAATATACTAAAATGCTAAAAGACATGGAAGACAGATCCATATCTGAATTCACAGAGGATGGAGAGTTTAAAAAGAAATGGACTCCAAAATAATAAAATACAAGAAGGATTATTTAGCAAAGAAAAGTAGTAAAATTGAGTGCTAAGTACCAAAAAGCATTGATGACAAAAATCTAAATAAAAATCTCAAGCTAAAAACTGCCAATGATAAGAAGGGAGTTGGCTGAAGGTGGGGTAGGGAGGGAGAGAGTGCACTAAAACCATGTAAGGTACTTGTCTGATTGAAAGGAAGCTATAGATGCCAATTAACTCCTGATGTTGTTAGAAAAACATTTGTAAGTATATATATTATAAAATTAAGAGTAATTATGAGAAAATACACATGAAAGGGATAAATTTCAGTCATTTGTGGGGAAGGGATAGAGCTCAGAATGAAGAAATCCCAATCAATCTAGCTGTGTCCTGAAGAAATAACACAATGAGTAATTAGGATGTTTCTGGGATTGTAGAAATGGTCTATCATTAACAAGTCTGCAACAATAATTCACATGAGTAGGTCAAACAAGAAAAATAGGTGAGCATCTCTTAAAGGTGAAAAATTCACTTGATAAAATGCAGTTCTCATCTTTGATTAAAAATACAACTTTAAATGTTTAAAAGACACTTTGAAAACTTGATAAAGAATACCTCAAAAATACAACTTTAGATATTTAAAAGATACTCTGAAAACTTGATAAAGAATACCTCAAATATCTAACTTTAATCAAAATCCCACCCCGAGGCATTCCTGTTAAAGTCAACATCAAGAGTGCACACATTGTTCTTTCTGGAAGTTTTAACCACTGTAATAAAGGGAAAAAAATGACAGGAAGAAATACCGAAATTAAGAAAGAAAATCATTATTATTTTTAGATTATAAGACTGTCAATGTGGAAAACCAAAGAGAAGTCATTGAAAAAATGTTAGCACCAATAAAAGAATACAGTGCCCGGCACAAAATAAATTATTATCATTACTATTTTCTTAAATACTTTCTTTTTAAGAGATAAGGTTTTGTTCCACTGCCCAGGCTGGAGTGTAGTGGCACCATCATAGCTTAAGATCCTGGGTTTATGCCAGCCTCCCACAGAGCTGGAGTTACAGGTACAAGCCACTCCTTCTGGCAAAAATAAATTATATTTTGAAAAAAATCCCTCAATTATCCAAAAATAGCAGGTTGTCAAATAGATTTTAGTATCTCTGTATAATTAAATAGTACTATGTACCCTTTACAAATAATAAAAATCAAATTGCATAAAAATATTTTAACTATATGTGAAAAAATGCAGTTTATTTAAAAAGTACCAAAGTAAATATGTACCTATGCAAGTAGAAAAATTAATAAGATACATATCAAGATATGAACAGTGATTATCCTTGCACAGTAAGATTATAATGGAATTTTATTTTCCTCTTAGTTTTTATCTATATTTTTCAAACTTTTAACATTCAAAATTAAGTTTACTGTACTATTTACTGAATAATTTGCCAAAAATCAATTGCCAATAATATGAATAACGTCCAATCTCACAGAAAATAAAACTGCATGTTAAATCAAAAAAGCACATAACATCTAGATGAAACTCATGATCTTGAATTAGATCTCAGTTAAGACAGACTTGCTACAAAACATATTCAGTAACAAGACGAGGGGCAGGTTCTATGATGGACCAGCTATTAGACGCTATTAAGAAATACATTTTAATTTTTTATAATGTTATTTGGCTATTTTAGGAAAATGTAATTTTTTTAGAGATAGACAATAAAGCATTTAGAAATAGGTTACCAGAAGCTTGTTATTTTTACTATAAGATATTTAAGCATAAAAAGATAAAGGGGGTCAAAGGAGGATTCTTGTTTCTTAAAAGATTTTTTAAAAGGCAAGATTTTTTTTTCACCTATCAAATAGGGAAAATTTAAAAATATAATATCTGGGTTGGTAGGTGGGAACTAAAATAAGAACCCTCATTTACCACTTAGGCAGGAATGAAAAATTAGTACAACCTTTCTAAAGGGCAATTTGGTAATTTATATAAATTTCTTAAAAATATACCTCCCTTTATTTTAGCAATTCCACTACAAGGAATTTTCTAAAGAAATAGTCAAAAATAACACACAAAAGATATGACTATAAGGATACTCATGACATAATGAAATACTGAAAAAATCAAAATGTCTAATATAGAAAATGGTTAAATCAGTTATATATAATTAAATAATATGCAGCCTCACATACTGTACTTTGAAAAAATGATAATGTTAAATGAATACAGTAATAGAAAATTATGGCCAGGCGTGGTGGCTCACGCTTATAATCCCAGCACTTTGGGAGACTGAGGTGGGTGGATCACGAGGTCAGGAGATCGAGACCATCCTGGCTAACATGGTGAAATCCTGTCTCTACTAAAAAATACAAAAAAAATTAGCAGGGCGTGGTGGCGGGTGCCTGTAGTCCCAGCTACTCGGGAGGCTGAGGCAGGAGAATGGCATGAACCCGGGAGGCAGAGCTTGCAGTGAGCCGAGATTGTGCCACTGCATTCCAGCCTGGGTGACAGAGTGAGACCCCGTCTCAAAAAAATAAAAATAAAAATAAAAATGTGTGTAGTAGGACTCTAATTTTGGAAAATATGATTAAAACCTGACATATACATAAAAGCTAGAGGACAAAAAATGTGATGAAATACACCAAATACTAATAATAATGGTTCTCTGAATCTCTGAATTATAGATGAATTTAATTTTCTTTCTTATACTTTCAGATATCCCTAAAATGTCTCATTTTGAGCACCCTTTATAATCCAAAAAAGTTATCATAAGACAATTTAAGAGTTGTCTTTATAGTTGTGTAAAAATATTTTATATTTAAAGAAACATGCTTGTTTTATTTGCAATACTAAAATATAAAGATGGAGAACTTTCAGATAATAGTAGATAACTGACATTCATAGATGAGGACCCACCCTACAGGTCCCTGGCAACCAGACCCATGGTGTCTGGGTTCATGAGACTGAAAATCAGCCACCAGATGGGAAAGCTGGTCAGTTGTCCTTATAGTATCCTGCCACAAAAACGCAATACTCCTCCAGAGGCATTCATACCCTGAGGCAGTTCCTAGGGTATACACTAAACGAACAAGATAGTAACTTTTATATTTATTGGGAAAAAAGGAGGGAAAAATGGGAAGATGAGAGTGGAAGATTAGAGAGTTCAGTTTTTTAAAGAAAGTAAAAACAAATAAACAGGTAAAAGCTCTTGATTTTTAAAATGCATCAAATAAGAAGGGTGAGGAAATAGATGAAATAAGCTATATTTCAGAAAAAAAGGGTAGACAAGACCTATGAAAATTAAAACTACAAGGAAGAATAGACCAGGAAAAAAAAACAAAACATTAAGTGAGATAAGTGGAGGAAAGATCACATAATCAAGTCAACAAATAGGCAAGAAAAACATTGCTTCATTTGTCAAACTGAAGGTGGAGGGACCTGGAGGAAGGCAATTGCTAGACTGTGCCAGATTCAAGGTTGTGAGGGGCTTGGTCCCGGCCACTTCCTCCATTTAATAAATGTTTATTCAGAGTCTATTTTTCTGCCAGTGCCATGCTACGCACTAGGCACCAGGGATATAAATATGAATCAGACTGACATAATTCCTGCTTTCAAAAAGCTTATGAATCAGGGACAGACACAGACTAGCAAACTATTATAGTACCAAACGACAAGGGAGATCAAACACATGTCTGCTGTAAAAACGTATAATACATAAGTGCCATATCAGTGGTATATATAAATTACTGTTAAATGTTACTGAAAACAATAAACTAGAGAAAGATGAAAAGAGAAAATTCACTAGGTCAAAGCAGAAGAAATAAATAACATTAGTTTTTTTCCTCATCACCGCAAGTGCTAGTTGTTTTCCATCTTTTCAAGACAGCTGTAAAGACACTGCTTTTTATCCTGCTTGTGAAATTCAAAGGACATTTGCAACATTTACAAAAAAAAAACACTTCAAATCATTTTGCAAAAATTTTAAGGAAACGACCTATTTCCTGTATAATGAATGGTTAGCAAACTTGCTTACTTGAAGCACCTGTGCCATAATGTGAAAAAGTCACAGAAGTCTTTTTACTTACCAACATCTCTTTTTCAGAAGAAGAGAAAATAACTCGTAAATGAACGGAAATACAATTGTAAATGCTTGACAAACACAAGTTCTTAGTTTAAAATCGAGTAAAGCGATACCTTAGAAACAGATTGGTGCCATCTGTTGGCGCATACTGGAATTACTCCTACGTATATACTTCCCTTTGAAAGGTCAGGAGGTATGTGAGTTAGCAGGCTTTTCTGGGCTACAGACTAAACCAGTGATCAAATTTTCTAATTCGTGTGAGGAAGCAACTTACAAACATTTCAATGTGAAGAAAAATATTTTTCTAAGGTAATATTTCTCTGTAAGAGTTTACAGCCTGGATATTACATTTGTCACCCAAGTGGAAAGTTATTTTAAACAGCCTGTTTTCTATTATCATCATATTTAACATTTCAAGAATAATTGCAGTTTCCCTTACCAAGTGATTTTGAGCATTATTTTAGCTGGATGAGATAGTATAAAATAAAATAAGTATAGTTCCACAATTTGGGGTTTTTAAAAATCAACTTCTAAGGAAAGTTTACTGGTTGATACACATTTATGATGACATATTTAGCCATATCTAGAAGGACTCATACCCACATTCTGATCAACATTTGGTGTTATTAAATGGTTTAGATTTTAATTTAGGAATAATAAATAACACTGAAATCCTACAGGACTCATTTAAAAATCAATTTTCTAAAGACCATTTAGAAGAATTTCAGAATGACATCAACAAAGGCTGATTACCAGAAGTCTCTGGTTAAGCAGAGACTTCCGGTGGACTGTAAACCCTTTTCCCCAGACTTCTCACTTAACTGAGTTCTGAAAAGAACAGAAAGCATGAGTGAAACAATCATTCCATAATTTATCTCACTGTCTGGCATGATCTCATCTTTATTTTAAAAAAAAAAAAAAAGACAACAAGGTAAGACCTTACAATTCGGCTAATGACAAAGTTGGACACCTTGGTAAGAATCACTTCTGCTTTCAGGAGAAAGAGAAAGGCTGACTTCTTACGATTCATCCTTACTCATCAAACATAACCGGAAGTCTCTGGGGAGGCTCAGTAAGAAGTGGATGGATCTCTGCTCCACTGACAAAAGGAGACAGCCAGAAAGCAGCAGGTATCTGTGACCCTGGGAAACCAGATTTGTGAAACAAGCCAAGGGAAAGGGCTGGCTGTGGCTTTGAGGGAATTTCAAGTAACCGTGGACTAACGTCTTAAGAAAACACACAACCATCACTGCAGATCTGGGCACATTGACATGTCATTAGGAGATTGCATCACATCACCAACGTTCAGGAACAAGGAGACCATTCTCGTCGAGGCTGTCATAACTCAGAAACGTCTGCAAGGGGATGACAAAAACACAAAAATCAAGTAATAGCGAAGACAGCAATGACAGTTAAGCAAACAAAGAAACAGACAGTACTGGGCCGAACTCCCCACTTGGCCACTTACTGTGAGGCTTGGGACAAGTTCCTCAACCTCCATTTATTCATCCACAAAATGGGAGTACTTTTAGGAAAGATACTGAATTTAAAGTGGCTGGAATAGTGCCTGACATAGAAGAGAAGTCATAATAGTAAGGAGTTTGGTGTAAATCATATGGTTTTTTGTACGCTGAGGGGTAAAGATTTCAGGATATACTATGAAGTGAAGAAAATCAAGGTGCAGGCTGGGCACAGTGGCTCATGCCTGTAATCTCAGCACTTTGGGAGGCTGAGGTGGGTAGACTGCCAGAGGCCAGGAATTCAAGACTGGCTTGGCCAACATGGCGAAACCCCATCTCTACTAAAAACACAAAAATTAGCTGGGTATAGTGGCAGGTACCTGTACTCCCAGCTACTCGGGAAAATGAGGCAGAAGAATCACTGGAACCCGGAAGGCGCAGGTTGCAGTGAGCCGAGATTGCCCCACTGCACTCCAGCCTGGGCAAAAGAGTGAGACTCTGGCTCAAAAGAAAAAAAAGAAAGAAAGAAAATCAAGGTGCAGAACCGTAAGAAGAGTATGACATCAATTGTATAAAATCTAGCCTATTATACATTTACACAGGTTATCTTCTTGCCAGGCATTGCTGTGACTACTTTCCAAGTATGAACGTATTAAGGTGCTGTGAGATAAGTACTGTTACATCATCTCCACTTAGCACCCGGGCAGGAGCAGCTGAGTAATGTTTCCGGCTTGCACTGTTGGTCAGTGGTGGGACTGGGGTTCGAACCCAAGCAGTTTGGCCCCAGTGCCTATGCACTTCAGCATTACACCACGCACGCTGCTTTAAAAGACACCCTGTGTCCTCATGAGACACACAGAGAAGAGGGACACAGAGAAGCAGAGCATTTGCAAACAGAGGCAGAGACTGCGATATTGCAGTCACAAGGCAAGGGATGCCTGGAGCCGCCAGAGGCTGGAGAGAGCATCACCCTATGAACACCTTGATTTTGAACTTCTGGCCTCCAGAACGCTGAGGGAATAAATTTTTGTTGTTTTAAGCCACACAGTCTGTGGTGATTTGTCATGGTAGCCACAGGAAACTTAATACAAGGGTCTACATACGTATGTTGATAGAGGCATATGAATCTTTTTTTCTTAAAGGATACATAAGAAATGTTCACCTTTGAGCAGAAGAACTAAGAGAAATAGATTATTGGCCTTTTTTTTTTTTTTGAGACAGGGTTTCGCTCTGTTGCCCAGGGTGGAGTGCAGTGGCATGATCATAGCTCATTGCAGCCTTGACTTTCTCTGCTCAGGTAATGCTCCCACCTCAGTCTCCCAAGGATCTGAGATCACAGGCATCCACCAAAATGCACAGCTAATTTTTATATTTTTTTGCAGAGACAGGGTTTTGCCATGTTGCTCAGGCTGGTCTGGAATTCCTGGGCTCAAACAATCCACCCACCTCAGCCTCCTAAAGTGCTGGAATTACAGGCTTGAGCCACCCCACCTGGCCTCTTCACCATTTTATGCTTTTTGTCCTGTTTGGATTCTTCACTATATATATGTATATATATCTTAATTTTTTAAAAAATAGTGCCACACTGGGATAAGTATTATAAATATAATCTGAGGCCACCAAATATACTGTCCCAATACAGACACAGGCAAAACATTATTTTGATGATTTTTACTTTTTAAAAAATGTTCTTTGCCTTTCTCCAGATAATAAATAAATAAATATTAGTGTCTACCAACAGCTTTAAAGTAAGTTCTGTGACAGTTATCAATATCATAAGATACACATACGACAGAGATAAGATTGATAATTTTGGCTGGGTGCAGTGGCCCACACCTGTAATCTCAGCACTTTGGCAGACCAAGGCAGGCAGATCACCTGAGGTCAGGAGTTCAAAACCAGCCTGGTCAACATGGTGAAACCCTGTCTCTACTAAAAATACAAAAATTAGCTGGATGTGGTGGCTGGCGCCTGTAGTTCCAGCTACTCAGGAGCCTGAGGCACGAGAATCACTTGAACCCAGGAGGGGGAGGTTGCAGCGAGCTGAGATCGCACCACTGCACTCCAGCCTGGGCAACAGAACGAGACTCCGTCCCCACACACACACACAAAAATTTGATAATTTATATATTAAGTATTGGCAGTAAACCTAAACTTCTCTGCTGAATTTAAAAAAAAAAAAAAAAAAAAGACAAGCCACAGTCTGGGAGAAGGTATCTGCAACACGTGTAATCACAAAAGGGTTAATATACAAAATATATAAAGATTTCCTACAAATCAATTTTAAAATGACTAACGACCCCAATGGGGGGAAATGAGCAAAGGAGATCAGCAGATGGATAACAGAAAAGGAAACAGAAGTGGCTCAAACACATGGGAAGGTATGCATCCTCATTAGAACATGGGAAAATACAAATTAAGACAACCAGGAGACACTATTGCACACCCCTAAGGTGGACAAAATTTAAAACATCTCGTAATACCAAACGGTGGCCAGAACGTGAAGAAATAGAAGCACGCATACATGTCCAGAGATTCTGATGTAAGTGGTCTGGGAGGAGCCGGGCATACGTTTTATTTCGAAAGCGCTTTAGGTGAGTAGATTTCATTCTAACCCCATGAAGATCAGGGGACTGAGACCTACACACTGGCCTGAGCACAACGCCCTCTAGTGGTCTATATTTTCTCGGGCACACCCTTTACATCCCAGGGCCTGGGAGGTGGTGCAGGCCCTCACTGCTACTTCCAGATCACTTTCCTTCCTCCAAACCCACCCCTTCTCGTCGCAGTCATCTACTGAGCCCCATCGCTTCATCAAGTATTCTAGCACTACTCACTATTTCATTCCGATACCACCCTTTTCATAATTTTAGTGATTTCCATAGCTACATAGAGACTCTTCCATTCACCTGGCCTCTGAGTTCTTGGAAATTCTCTCTTCTAATAATCTTGTCCTGCACCCTACCTCAGTCATGCATTCCCTTATGATATCCTAGATATCATCATTATCAGTGGTTGCACCCCCTCCATAATCTCAGCTGCCTGAATCCCACTTTCCATCTGTCACCTCCAACTCTTCCTCTGATGCCAATGATTCCCCAGCCCCACTGCACTGGATTGAAAGATCATGCTCCATCCTCTTCCTTATTCTTCTGTAGCTACCTACTCCTCTTTCCTCAACCCAGTTTAAATCCAACTCTCCATTGGACTACACTGAGCTTGAGTGGCTGAATACAGTTGGAGAATATACACACCCATACTGACTGGCTTACTTGAAATTTATGACTAGGTTCCAGCCTCAAGAGAGAGCAGTGATCCTCCTACCCTCCTTACTACCCTTCCCTAGCCCCTTCACTCTCCTACTCTCCTCTCTCACACCTCCTCTTGTCTCTTACACTTCCAAAATCTCCTTCTTGTGTCTAGGTCCTCTTTATCTCTTTGGTATGGAATACCCAAGGCTCAGTTTTGGACCACTTCTCTTCTAAATCCATGCATTCTCATCCGGGTCCATGGCTTCAAAACCATCTGCTTACTGATGTCTCCTCAATTACCAGCTCCGACCCAGACTTCCCTGAACTCCAGACTCTCACATTCAACAGCC